TGAGTCACTCCTCGTCCACGAAGTGATGAGAGTGAGACTTGAAATTAGTCGTATAGCCCCAGTGTAAACTGACAATTTCCTCTTAGTTGTACGCCCGGTAACAGGCTGAAATTCATGAACTTGTCGCACGCCTGTAACAGAACTGATATTTCTTGTTTCTTGTTCATTCTCGCATGTTTACTCTTGAAAAGAGATACTGACTTAATAATTTTCATTTATTATACTTTTATTTGGAGTTTGTTTTCTGTTCCCATTGTAGTTTATTAAATAGTTCAGTTTATGTGCACTTAATTATTCACCGACATTTTCACTTCATTCGTCCGCTACTAATCTAATCCGTGCCAGAGCAGCGCCGTTGCCATTCAGTTCGTTTATTATTCTATTCACTATCTATTCCATTCACAATCTATTTTATTCACTAGCAATTCTATTCACCATCTATTCTATTCACTATCTATTCTTTTCACTAGCTATTCTATTCACTATCTATTTTTTCACTAGTTATTCTATTCACTAACTATTCTATTCAGTATTTATTATATTCAGTAGCTATTCTATTCACTATCTATTCTATTCACTATCCATTCTATTCAGTATATATTCTATTCACTAACTGTTCTATTCACTATATATTCTATTCGCTACCTATTCTATTCAGTATATATTATATTCACTATCTATTCTATTCACTATCCATTCTATTCACTAGCTATTCTCTTCACTAGCTATTCACTATCTATTCTATTCACCGCGGTTTGTTCAGCCCGTGAATCAGAAGACAGAACGTAAACGCATCGATCTTCCGTCACCCCGTCTGGGGGCCTACAGAACTCCGAATCAATTTCGTGCTATGTTAAAACCACGGGAGTGTTAAGCGCGGCCATTCGCAGGCTAATGGTTGGCCATCCTCGATTAAACTGTGAGTTCTGATACGAAAGTGGAGCGATGGAACGCAGTCATTATGAGACGCTGAATAATGAAAGGATTATTGCCAAGTTTGCAAGATCGGAGATATAATTCCAGTTCCGCGTCTTTGATTGAAAATAAAGCTTCCTTACAGGCAGATTCTCAAATAATTTAATGTTGTAAATACATAAGCTAATCAAGAATTATTGTATAAACTGCTATCAGCAAATAATTTTATACTTACAAATATGGAACCGGAGCTGATAAACGCTTTTGAAATGAGGATCGTAATTTTTGCGGATGTTGAACCAGTACAGGAAATGAGTGGATGGGTTATTATGCCACTCGGTGTTGATGGTGATTATGCCACTCGGTGTTGATGGTGATTATGCCACTCGGTGTTGATGGTGATTATGCCACTAGGTGTTGATGGTGATTATGCCACTCGGTGTTGATGGTGATTATGCCATTCGGTGTTGATGATGATTATGCCACTAGGTGCTGATGGTGATTATGCCACTCGGTAGTGGATGGGTTATTATGCCACTCGGTGTTGATGGTGATTATGCCACTCGGTGTTGATGGTGATTATGCCACTCGGTGTTGATGGTGATTATGCCATTCGGTGTTGATGATGATTATGCCACTAGGTGCTGATGGTGATTATGCCACTCGGTGTTGATGGTGATTATGCCACTAGGTGTTGATGGTGATTATGCCACTCGGTGTTGATAGTGATTATGCCACTCGGTGTTGATGATTATTACGTCACTCGGTGTTGATGGTGACTATGCCACTCGGTGTTGATAATTATTATGTCACTCGGTGTTGATGGTGACTATGCCACTCGGTGTTGATGGTGATTATGCCACTCGGTGTTGATGGTGATTATGCCACTCAGTATTGACGGTGATTATGCCACTCGGTGCTGATGGTGATTCGTAGAATAAAACACGGTTTGGTTGCAGCTCACCTGTATCATGCATGCCCTTTGTTGAACCCAGCAGTTATTCGTGTTTTTTGCGAATGAAAAGAAAAAATACTGAACATAATTTTCTTCTTATTTTCTTCGCATGTGTGTTGTGTTTAAACTTTCACTGTCACATCGACAGTTATATTCCATTATTCATAATGTTATCCCTACATATAATAATCAGGTAGCCTATCACTGCCCAACCACGGAATTCGCGTCCTAGCCGAGTTATAAGTTAAAGTCGCAGGATTCTTGTAGCGATGAATTAATCTGCCTTCTACAATGTCATTCCCACGTGTATTGTAAAATTAATCGGTTAGTTATGTAATATCTTAATGCAGAAAACTCGTTCCTAGGTACCGTATTATCAAATCTCGCATAGTACACATCGCGTCCTAAGTACACATTGCGTCCTATAAGTACACATCGCGTCCTAAGTACATATCGCTTCGTAAGTACATATCGCTTCGTAAGTACACATCGCGTCTCAAGTACACGTATCGTCCCAATTGCACGTAGCGGCTTAAGTACATGTAGCGTCCCGAGTACAAGTACCGTCCTTTAAGTACACGTAGCGACCGATTTCTGGGCCTTTACTCTCATAAAAAGTTAAGGGATCGTAAGTTCATTAGCCAATCATTGACGGCCTTTCAAGCAATGTCCACCAATCATAGACCAGAAAATAGAGCGTAAGTACTTACGTTCACTTAGCGAGTTTTGAAAGTATGGCTGGTCAGTGATTGATGTGTTCAGCAGCAAGAGACGTAGGTAATTGGCTTACGGAGTTAAGTTTTCATAAATATTTTGATAGTACGGCAGCCCACGGGCACCTATATATAAGCTGTGACCTACATGGTGCAGTTGCCCAGTTTCGACCTTCAACGGACACGCATAATTGAAGCGGCTTGCACTTTACCGCGGAACTCCACACGAGTTTCTCGGTCGGAATTCTCGCATTGTTATTATATTTATTGCGTTATTATTATTATTGGTTTTTATTATTATTTTATGTTGATTGTTTTTTGAAATAATTCTCGTATTCGCACAGTTAATTGCTTGGATAAATAGCAGGTTTTTTATTATTAGTTTCTCTTGATCGGGTTTTTGTAATCAATATTGCACTTGCACAATTATTTACTTGGATTCATAGCAGTGTTTTTTATTATAACATCATGTTGATCAAAGTACCTCCCATGCGCACAATTTTTTGTTAGGATTTATTGCGGAGTTTTTGATTCTTACGTAGGTCAGGTTGATAAACGTAAAATGCACTTTAATTTCTCAACAAAAGATATTAAAATATGACACAAAACTGAATGACGGTTTTCTATTTGATTTCAACACTATACACAGCCATTAGCGTAAAAGTCTGAATTAATAACGCAATCGTTTATGAAGACGTCTATCGGATGCGTGAACGAGATGACAAGTGCACATGCAAACCGTTTAAAAAATTTCTTTTCTGCAAAAAAGCAGGAAAACAATTTTATTCCAATTCCACGTTTTGTTCATTAATCATTCTCGAAGCTTTATACTGCAAGAGACAACGCACGTCCATAACGCCAGGTCATCGGATCATGTAACATCGATCTGCTCAAATTGCTTCAGCAAAGCTGGAGTCGTGCATGACGTATTTCTAGTTTCACATTAACCATAAATCCTTTTCATATCAAATTTTATTCTATTTTACACAAATTTAACCGATGTAGCTATTTTTAGAAACTTTTACAATTTTTTAAAGTGAATTACTCAACGGCCAACCATGCATGTGTCATCAAGAGGCCAAAAATAATGTACAATGATTTAGCCCGCAAAAGTTAGAATGAAATAAATTACCTAATCAGCGATAGCGTCAACGGGAATGACTTGATGAGCAGCACTTAAGCAGCCGCGGGCAATCTCAGCGGATTAATGAACTTGATCGTGCATTTTGCCTTGTAATTTTTAAGAATTTCCAGTTCTCTTTTTCAGGTTCAAACAGTAGTCCAAGTTGAGCAAATTGGCCATTCGGCTTCAATTTGTTAATATCGCTGCCAGGATTTAGAATGCGTGCCTGTAGCTTTAAGCTGTCGTAATGAAGGACTTTAAAATTAACGTTCTCAGGAGCAGCCTTCGTGTTTCTCGCCTGCATGAGTTCAAATTTTATTCACGTACACAAGGCTATGTTTAGTCTGCGCAAGAATTTTGAGTGGAACATATGCTTATTGTGGTTTAATGAACTGGTCCATAAAACCATTTAATTAAACTGTTGCCATTGTTGACTTAATAATATCAAAATTATAGAAGAATTGATAATTGTGAAGCAAGTCTGATTAATTGGATAACATCGAAACTTGCCCATTCAACATCAGCTTGATTAATTTTTTGAAGTTATATTTTTTATCAGGCAGGCATGTATGTGTTTGTGAACTTGGTTTCTTGGGATTATACTCGTATATCAACTTCATTGCAACTCTAATGCCCCGCAATACACTATGTACACTTGCAAAAGCGAGGGGTTCATTACATTGGTTGTGATGTTTCTGATGGTATGGGTGAGAAGAAGAGACACGAATTGGCATGGAGACCTCACACGTCAGATGTCGGCATTAAATGTCTGGCAGAGGTCATCTTGCTGCTGCATCAGTGCTTGGTCAAAAGCTCGCCAAATTAGTTTAATAAAAGAGCGGTGATTTTTTCATAAGCGGGACTATTAAGATATTTCACTTGATGTTTATTTTGGCAAACACCCCTCCGATATTTTGTCGCAAGATTGTTACTGACTATTTGAGTGGAAATTTTCCCATATAACATGCATTGGTTGGAATCATCGTATAATGTTGCACGTGTTGAAATTTATTTCAATAACCGAATTTCTGTCCGCCAAATTTTGTTCTACACGTATACTTTTCTGAGTATCTAAGCTAAATATAAGGCACTTGTTGATTTCTTCAAAAGCCTTTCTTTTCCTTCTCATAACATTGCCTTCTAATAGAATATAAATTGAAAAATATATTTTTAATTCACTGATATAAGGTGTTGTCCTAGTCTCAATTACATTGCGCCCGAAATCAGTTATTTTTTATTAAATTACATCACGTTTCATTTATTCATCGTCAGAATATAGTGAATGAAAGACAAATTACTCATAGATACATTGTTTTATTCACATTTCAACAGACATATTCACACATGAGGTCAGGATCTGTGCGACGTTAGATATTTGGATTCATCCAATAATTCACACAATAAATCTCAACATTTTAAAGCTGTCGCAGATAATTATCACTGCGGGTATAATTAAACCTATAAAATTTATTGGAATGTTGCTTCATCTCAAATATCATAGCCGGACCAGGGATGGCCGGCTAAGGAGCGACGATAAATAGCTTATGATATTCATTAGATTATTCTTGCTTGCGTCGAAAAATGAGATATATATTAAAATTGTAAGTCATTCATGATTCACATCTGACGGTACATAGAATGTAAGACTATGCTAATAATCAGAGGCGGGTTATAGGAGGCCAACCAAAAACCAATTATACACCAGAAATATTGGATCTCCGAATAACAAAAGCATACATAAATGAATGAAAAAATTCTTAACATTGTTAATGTTATTTCGATCAAAATAAGCATTACGCAATAACGCCTTATTAAGATTTAGTAATTTCGTGAAGCTATTGTTCAGCGAACAATAAGAATCGGACATAAATAATTTTTATGCCTTAAAATTCCTCATAAATAATAGATATTTTGCATTTTTGGTATTATTTGTTGTAAAGCATTTATGATTAAGAGCCTAACTTGGCTGAAAAAATATACAGAAAATAGTTACCAATTCAGAGAAGCAAAATTTTGCAATGCATTTCATTCCATTGAACGCCAGTACATCGACAATTTTTTCTTGCGCAGAATTTTCGCCGACTATCGTCATGTATTTTTGGCCAATGAGTAGAAACAGCAGAATTTTGTGATTAATTGACGATTACTGAAAAATAAAAAGCAATGAGAAATTAATCATTCATTTATCGTAAATAGGGCAACATGTTCTAGCATTTCGATTGATTTTTATTGCAAAAATGTGCCATGTAGTTGACCTGCCTATGCGATAAAGCTTAAGTCTAATCTCGTCAGACATTTTGGTGGGGTGAGAAGGGCGGCAAATATAACGATCATCAAAGTTTTCATTTATTAGATAATATTAACAGCCCTATAACTGAATAAAAATATAACAACATAACTTCCCTAGAAACTAATCGCCGCTAAATTAAGTAGAAATAAAGAACATTCACTAAGTTTCCGACATTACTGAGAGAGAATTAAGTCAAGTCTCTCATGCATAAAGATCACTAAAGTCAAGTCTCAGGCAGGGACTAATCTCATTTATTATATATTTAATCACAAGTACGAATGTATCTGATCATATAATAGAATTAACGTTTAATCAAATTATGGGATTTCGTCTAAAGTTTTCTTCTCTATAAATTTTTTGAACAACGACCGGTTCAAACAACAGGGATATACTTGAGAAACTATGAGAGAATATATTTTTTTTAATAAAAAACGAAAATTCCTGGGCTTACCTGGTATTCACTTTGTTATTTAAATCTCTCATTAATCAATGTATGTGTTTCCATGGAGAATCTTTCCGAGCACGCGCATAAATAAATGTACGTAACGCCATTATGCATCCATGTCTCAACGACATAAATAGTATATTTACATGAACGTTCTATTTTACATTCACTCACTCGTCATTCACAATTAAACAGCGGGAAACATCTTCATCTTCATTCACAAACTGATCTTAAAAAATATGAGGTATACTTAACCTAAGTAGAAGATGATTAGTGCATGAAGAGTCAAATTTGCATTATAAAAATAAGTTATCTTTAGGACTACTGTACACGAAACAAACGAGATTCTTTGGTGTATAGGAATGAGAGGTTTGGTGTAATATTCAGTACATCGTTCCTTAATATAAAACAAAGGCCAATTAAAGATTGACCAATGGTTAACTAACGAACCGTGGATGCTACGCATAAGAAGTTGATTAAAGATACGAGTATTTAGAGTAGTGAATGGTGATGATCTATTTCCCTGTTGTGGGTGGTGATGAAAGATCCTCGTTTTAAAAAGTGTTATCTATGCATAGTTGCGATTTTGGTGAAGGTTATGTGTTGACAGATCTCTGTTTATAAAGGTGTTTACGATGAATATTACTGATATTGCTGTTGTGATGGAGATGAATATTTTAATCGTTATTGTTGATGAAGTCCATCAGTTTTATCTGTGATCCAGGTAATCAAGTCTGACTGTATTTTTACTAGTGGAGACGTTTATGCTGTGTTTAATTTATATAAATGTTTTTTGTTTCAATGCCAGAGAACGCAACTTGTATTTTGGTGAAGGCGATGTTATATAGTCATGCATACGGAGTGATCAACAAGCAGTGTTGTGATTTTCGGTGGGCACATTCGCAGTGTTATTTGTGGTAGTGACGTCACTATTGGGAACAGAAAGATGTCTATAGTTGCTCAGAAAATCTGTAGGTGGAGGTATTTCTCTTGGCTTGAGAGGTTCACCTTTGCTCTGGCACAACCTGCAACATATGGCGATGATAACCACGAAAGCTACCAGAGCAATGGCCGACACACTGCCTATGAGGACGGCCAGGCGAGTACTGAGCAAAGTTCGCTCGGGCGGCGCTTGCAGGGTTCGAACTCTGGTGCACTTAGTGTCGCTCTGCTGCTGGGGAAGGGAGGTTGTCGGTGTCATTACTCATAACAAAAATTACACAGAGAGCTTAAATACTATCATCAAATGAAGAAAGATGCTGACATTATAAGACAGTGTGAGATTAATCACAATGTTTCAGCGAGGGGAGACTACTGGAAATTGATTTGTACTTGACAGAAAATAGTGATTTAATTGATAACTTTTATTTGTAATTTTGGGTTTAAAGAAGCGTAATCACCTCTTGAGAGAGCGACAGCGGCATCTCCTGTGTGTGGGGCATGGATCGCGCGTCGATGTGGGTTGGTGTGGTGATGCCCTGAACACACACGAGGTAGCGAGTGTCGGGCAGCAGCTCCGTGATGGTTAGGCTGCGAGGCTCGGGCGGCAGCTTATGCGTGTGCAGCAGCCCCAGGAGGCGACCGTCGGGCCGCGTTTCTTGGAAAGCAATCTGCACGCAGAACCGAGCGAGGAAATTAAGAATAAGACAGCGCATGGCGTGATCATCATCAACGTGACCGTGGATTGGAAGTCCTTAACTCGTCATAAGGTCAAAACGCTTCTTTCCCATGGGCGCCAATCGCCTATTTTTGCTTAACTCATGAATTAGACGGCGCTTTAAACGAGTTGTTAGCGCATTTTCTCATTTATAGAAAAAATGCACTATGGTGCTCGTCATGTCTGTCTGTCCGTGACTTCATATTTTCGTCGACGAGAAAATGAATGAGAAAATCTCTGTAACTCACTGCAGTGAGTACTGAGTTATATTTTTTTATTATGCGCTATGCGAACGTTCTTGCCACTTACTCACATTTTACATTTCTCTTTCCAACATCAAGTCACTCTCTGCCACCTCTCGTCTTTCCACACCCATTCCAAGCAGCACCGAATTAAAAATTCTGACTGCAGCGCTCACTCGTGGAATGAAAGAAAAACTCGTGGTTTAGCAATAAAAAAACGTACTTTGGAGAGAGTCTTAGTGAAAGTTTCTAAACTCACAGTGAAGCCCTGTAGGTTGGTGTCGTTCGCAGGCTGCCACATGACCACGACGCTGTGGCTCAACACGTCCTCCACCGACAGTCCTGCTATCACCGCCTGCTGTGGGCAGAAGCTCTGACTCGACTCCGGCAGCAGCAGGGCGCCCTTCAAACTCTGGAATAGAACAATTAAACTGGTTTATTGCCTGAATTAATTAAAATTATTTAACTTTTGTATATTTGCTCTCTATGAGAGCTATTAGAGATAACTATGCTGAGAGACAAAATGAAACGGTGCAGCTTACATCTATTTTTAGAGCTCTCTATTCCAGTTAATCATTGATATTGATGATCAAAACATAAGTAAGCTTATTGCGTCTGAGGTTCAAAATTCTACAACTCACAAACGAGGTGTGGCGGTCAACCAGGTCCAAGGGCCAAAACCCGGACCAAGTTTACATAGAGGATATGATAACATCGGACGTAGATTTGTAATGGCTCCTTTACATGAACAGTCATAAGTTGATTCACCTAAAAATAAACTTTGAACCACAGATTCACCGCTTGGTAACAAGAAACTTAAAAGTTTTCCTGTCAAAATGTACGAGTAAATATGTCATGAAACTATCACCCAGCGCCGAGAATGCGATTCTGCCGGAAAAAGGCCCTTGTTCCATTTCGTTTTTGACTCAATCGTTGCATGGAAAATGCCGCATGGTCGGTGGTTCCCGGAACGGCGAACTCAATTAAGACACAATTATAAGAAATATTGTGATATTAAGAAGGAAGACCTTTCCCTAGTCGGTTGATAGCAAGAGACAGATCGGTCATTGAATTGTTCGTTTGTCCCATTGAAATATATTACAGGTTTATCTAGTACAAATTCGAATGAGCGTTTATCAAAACATTTTAATCGACACATTAATAGTATATTCTGAAAAGCGCACAAATTTGAAAATTAAGATTTTGATCAAGTACAAAAGTCAAGTACAAAAGTCACTCAAGTACAAAAGTCACTGCCGAAAAATTTATATTTTAAATCTTTTAATAATTGATGCTTTACAGTGCATGATTCAAAGTGAAAATCACTTGAACACAACCTGCCTCAGTGCTTTAACTTCAGTGTTAATATTTTCCTTCTCGACATAATTTCCCGTGCAGCTCCGACGTCACATTTTGCATCTTTGTTTGTGTTTCAAACTTTGTAGGAGCGTCTCCCAGTTAGTGTTTCAAATTTTCTTAGAGCGGTCTCCCAGTCAGTCTTTGAAACTTTGTTTGAGCGGTCTCTCAGTTAGTGTTTCAAACTTTGTAAGAGCGGTCTCCCAGTTAGTGTTTCCAACTCTGTAAAATCAGTCTCCCTGTTAGTGTTTCAAACTCTGTAAGAGCGGTTTCTCAGTTAGTGTTTCAAACTTTGTGAGAGCGGTCTCCCAGTTAGTGTTTCAAACTTTGTATGAGCGGTTTTTCAGTTAGTGTTTCAAACTTTGTGAGAGCGGTTTCTCAGTTAGTGTTTCAAACTCTGTAAGAGCGGTTTCTCAGTTTGTGTTTCAAACTTTGTAAGAGCGGTTTCCCAGTTAGCGGTTAGAGCGGTACTTTGTAAATGAGGTTTCAAGCTTTGTAAGAGCGATCTCCCAGTTAGTGTTTCAAACTTTGTAAGAGCGGTCTCCCAGTTAGTGTTTCAAACTTTGTACGAACGGTCTCCCAGTTATTGTTTCAAACTTTGTAGGAGCGGTCTCCCAGTTAGTGTTTCAAACTTTGTACGAGCGGTCTCCCAGTTAGTGTTTCAAACTTTGTAGGAGCGGTCTCCCAGTTAGTGTTTCAAACTTATAGGAGCGGTCTCCCAGTTAGCTACCTTAATCGTCTATTCCACCTTGAGCGTCGTGTTGAATTCGACTGAAGGCCAATCAGGTGGTCGATAGGCTAAGGCTACGCTGAGAATAGAACACGAGTATTTTTAATGTATTGTACGGCATGTTTACAGAGCAACCAGAGTTTGAACTTGAGTCCACCGTGCTTCCACTGAAGGAGTTTCTACGTATAAAATTACTCCTCCCTTCTTTTCTGTGTGGGCGGTAATGCTGGCAACCGTTCATTGTAAATTGCCCAATCTGGATATCGTTTTTAATGTAACTGCGGACCCAGAGCGCCGGTTTAGCATTCAATTCCATTTCTACTTACAAACATCGAAACATTACCATGTTAAGCGTTAAGTCGATATAAATATCCAGCATTGTTAAAATTGAAGTATACACTTTGCATAGTGAGGAAGGAATGTTAAAAGTACGGCGATGTACAGGAATTGCGAAAATCACAAACCATATTTTGTTATTGAAAGGGCATGCAGACAATTGAGCTTTGTGTTCTATTAACATGCATGTTAAGGAATCCAAACTTTTCCTTAACATGTACGAAACGTTCGAAACAATTTATGCATGTTTATGAAATCAACATGAATTAAGGGGATCGGCTACCCTCCGGAAAAACTTCTACAGTTATTATCCGATTATCATGAAACTTCACATACATACGTAAAAGGTAAAAAGAAAAACTTCCCTTTAAAGAGACGTCATGAACGTAAATATTAACGTACAGCGATGGCAGTGGTACCATTGGAAAGAGCAGAATTCCAGCTTTCAGATGAGCACAAAAACCGAAAAACGTCAAAATTGAAAATTTTAGGGTAGCCGGTCCCCTTAACATGCATATTAAAGCATCTTGAATGTCATGCTCGTCTCCGAACATGACATTCAAGAAGACTCCCGAGTATCTCACATGTGGCATTTTATGGCATTTGCGCCACGCATGCGTGTGTCATCGAACACAGAATCCGGTGACCAATGGGAATGAACTTTCATGTTATTTATTATCTCAAATGTAACTATGTTGTTTTTGTCATTGCGGACATGATGACATTGATATTGAATGCCAAACAAGATTCAGTGGACCAAGTTATGAAGAAAAAGCGCTGTGGCATTTCAATTCACACGGTCCATTTATGCATTTTAGAAAAGAAAAAGAAAAATTTAACCTTCACGCTCAATCAATTCTTATAATTTTTACTCTTCATGAAGAACTTTTTACGAAATTCTTTCCTTAATCAACAAAGTATTGCTTTATAGATGAGGGGTTGTTCAGTAATTCATGTTTCAAGTATCAATAAACATGTAGCAGCATGCAGTCACTCCGGCTCTCACGATCGCTCTCATTTTTGTATCACAGGTCGTCGAGAAAAGAACAGTAATTTTGCACAGAGAAAAAACATCCTTTCTTGTGCTATCTTTCAGCGAAAATCAGTCATAATTGCAGAAGTGACGTACTCCTACTGTTAACGCCCCGTCATTGACCTTCTATATAGCAGCCGTCATTTCGAGTTCCAAGTAATTTTTCTCATACCCGAGAACTGAAAGTCAGAAGAACTGCCTCACGAGGCAGTGAATTATTGATGACGGCGAAACTCGTCTCAAGTTCTGAAGTAAGAAAGACAGGCGCAGAAGATTCGCGGAGCGTTGGAATTACAGTTTGGCACAAAAGGAATTTTACATGAGGTTTTATGTCTAACTTTGGAGACGGCCGAAAGGGCCAGCGGACGTACACGTGGATGGATCCTTTGGGCTTAGGATTTAAGGAACCGAGACGGGCCATTTCTTGGAACTTAGATGAGACATGTTTTACGTTTCAATTGGAAAAAGCAACATTTTGCGAAGCAAGTGAGATTTTTTCGATATTTCAAGCTGATAAGCTTTAACGTCAGTTATTTCACAAGCTTAACTTTAGTCGTTGTTTGTTGCGCTTGTGCACTTGTTTGGACATAATACTTAAAATAAGTAATAACTTATAACCTTTTCTTCACTGGTGGTGTTAGCTACAAACAGTAATGCTATTGTATCTATGTAACAGTAACCATGACAATTGCTATATATTGGGTTATACATTTAATAAACTCGCATCACAGACATTCCTCACTATAAGTAAAATACGAAGGCTTGTGCAAGAGACGCTGTCATATTATACATGGATTATATGAATAACTTTTACTTCTTTTTTTCGTTTAACAATCGGCATGAAGATTTTTAAGAGATTTAATTTTCAAGGATTTTATACGCAAAGCATCATGTGACGCCTCGCAAAGCATCAAACTCACTGACGCCTCAATCTACTATATTAATCACAGAATCGATGTTCTGTCATGTTATAGATCATAAAATCGAAGCTATTACACTATGAATAGATTACAATGTAGATGGGGATGCACATCGGTTGCTTCTGGATCAACTCTACGAGTAATTTATATAGTTGACATGAGTTAATGACATACATACGCTTTTTCAATGTCCCTTATTGCATAAAAATGTGTATGTTGTTCGCTTATACAGTTCGCTACTTTGCAGTAAACTCAAAATGTTGCACCATATCCCGAATACTACAATTACGAGACTTATACATTTTCACGTGGAAATCAAGTTTAAAGTTTAATTTAATGTGATTATCTGGCAGAACTTTTAATGTATTCCAGAGAAAAACTTTAGTTTATAAAAGAGAGTCATGATTGAACGGCATTATCTTTCATCAAGAGATAAATCATTCATAATAAAATTAAATTGTGATTAGGGTAAGCAAAAATAAATAAAAAATCGATAATTACCTCGGGTTGGGAGCAGGTAACCATGTTGAGCTCTTGCACTAAGGAGAGATGGTCGCTCAACCAAGACCATAACGGCCGCACCTCACAGTCACAGTTCCAGGGGTTACCTGTAGTGGTCAAGTTAAGAGTTACAACTAACAACTATACTATCATAATACACCAATAAATAGTGTATAATTGTATTATGATTAAAACGGTCATTGTAAATCAGTGTCATGATATGAAATCAATACGATCATTATGAACCACCATCATGGTCCACAATCGTGTATGTCACGGTCACCATACACCATCGTCATGATCCAACACCATACGGTTATGTCACGGCCACTATACACCATCGTCATGATTTAACACCATACAAGTCACGATCACTATATATCAATTCCATTGGTATTTTGTCACCTCTGGATAAAAATTTCCAAATTACACGTAGCACGGTTCGTGTAATGACTACGTAATCATGGTGGTGTTTTATCACATAAACACGAGTCACGCTCTAACGAACGAGTGAATACGAGCCATAAACTTTGCATTGCAGCTAATAAATCCACCGAGAATTGACCGCAATGAGCTCTCACCTTTAAGTTTGAGAATCTTCAGTGAGCGTTCGACTTTTTCCAGGACTGCAGGATCAAGGGACGTGAGATTATTGAAGGAGAGATCGAGGGTCTGGAGCTTAGTTTGTGCCAGCAGGGAAGCGGGGTCCAAGTCCCCCAGATTGTTGCGGGCCAGTAGAAGGATCTCTAGGGACGTCGCTTCAGCCAGCGTCCTATCTCGTAGTCGAGTGATTAGGTTGTCTGACGCGTCTAGGATCTGAAGAGGGAAATTAGAAAAATGGGTACGGGTTGGAAAATATGAGTGCGCGAATGATCATTTTTGATCACAGGCATGAATAAGGACAAAATAGAGATAAAATGGAGGCGGGTCGGGAAATATGAGTGCACGAGTGATCATTTTTGATCACATGCACGAATGAGGACAAAATAAAAATAAATTGGAGGCGGGTTGGGAAATAATAGTGCATCATTGATCTTGTTGTTCTACGCGTCCAGGCTCTAAATGAGAAATAAATTTGATATATATGTGAGTCGGGAAGTACGAGTGTGCGAGCTATCATGATGCGTCCAAAATTTGAGGGGGAATTAGAAATAAAATTGAAGAGCGTCGGGAAATCTGACTGCCCTTGTGATCATTTTGTCGGACTCGTGAGGGATCTGAGGGGAGGAGGGAGGGGAATAAAAAAATGAAGGCGGGTCAGGAAATACGAGTGTACGAATATCAACCTTAATCGCAAGTAAGAATCTCCGTTCGTTGTTAAATGTAACCAAAATGTAGGATTTTGAAGAATAACCTATAAATTAATAATGAAAGTTCTTTTTCCAACATTTAAATTCATGCGATACTCTTTGGTAATGATTGAGCTTTCTGTAATTAAGAATAAAATAGATAAAAGATCGGCTTTAACTGGAGATCATTTTCCTTCCAATTAATTCGTTACTATTAATAACCACTGCTCTATAATACCTAGTATTATATATTTATGATGCGTCAAGGAAATAAAAGCGTGTTGAAATCTAAGAATACCAATAATGAAATGACATTCATAGTTAGTATTGTTTCCTTAAAATTTAATATAGTCGAAAAATTATGAAAACTTTTTAACTTATTAGCAAAAAGGCAAATCGTGGAAGACGTTTCGGTGCGAGGAGCTGAGGATCTTGTTGTTAACTAAATAGTCAACGATAAATTGTAGTCACCGCATGTGCAGCTCTAATCAATTTCAATATTTCAAATAATAACTACTCTAATGAAATATCATTCATTGATTCGTCATTATTCAATTGTTATTTATAACTTTATTGTTACAAAAATGAAAAAAATTATTAAACTCACTTTGATATTGCGGGCATCGGGCGGCAAAGGATCTAATCTCTCCAGATTGTTGCCAGAGATATTTAGGACATTTAGAGCAGACAATCCTCGGAGCCTTTCTTTCGGAAGAAGTAGCAGCAGATTGAAAGATAAATCTAAGACTTCTAAGTGCTCCAGTTTTCGGAAAGCTCCAGGAGCGATCTTGCTGATGCTGGAGCCGGACAGCCGAAGAACGCGCAGGTTAGGCACGGCTGCGAAGTCTCTTGAAGACAAGTCTGTAAGGTTCGTGTACGGCGCCTCTAAGATCTCTAGAGCTGCCAATAAACCTGAATCTCCTGTCAATGACTTCAGAGGATTGCCAGAAACGTTAAGCTTTTTGAGCATCGGAGGTCGGTCCGTTAGGAAGGAACGCGGAATTTCCTTGAGGTTGTTATTGGACAGGTTCAGTTCTTCGAGACTCGATGATGCGAAAGAACCAGTCGGAAAGTCTGCTAAGCTGTTGTTTGATAAGCTTAAGAACTTCAAGCGTAAAAATCGTCGGTATGTGTATAGGGTCGGGGACTTGAGGTGAGTGCTTGACAAATCCAACTCCTTCAAGTTCTTCAGTCTCTCGGTTGATATGGTAAACTCTGATATGGGATTGTTACTGATATCCAAAGTTTCTATGGATACCAATTTATCCAGCGCATGTAAACTGTGGCTGTTCAAATTATTTCCAGATAGATTCAGCACCTTCAAGTTAGTTAATTTCTGAAACATAGCTTCAGTGAGGCGTTCTAATCGATTGTTTCTTAGAGATAAAATCCTCAAAGAATTCGATTCGGAGAAAAAATTAATCGGTAGATCTCGTCGTTCACAAAAACTCATGTCAAGAGAGTCGAGATTTTTACAGGCAAAGAGGGAGTCTTCTTCGACTGATTTGAATTGATTGTGCGAAACATCCAATGTTCTCAAGTTAGGGGTCCTGAGAAACGTGCTGCTAAGTCGACTCAAGACATTACCTTTGATGTTGAGGTTTTCCAATGTGGCAAGGTCTGCGAACACTAGCGTCTCTATGTCGTCGATTCTCGAAGATTCCAGACTTATTGACCGCAAGGGAATAGACCCTTCGAACATAAATCTTCTAACAACTGCAATTTGGTTGTGAGAAATCTCGAGGTACTCCAACTTTTCCAGTTTTTGGAATGTTTGAGGTTCAATGTCCATGATAACGTTATTGGACACATAAAGTTCTTTTAGGCTTTTCAAGCCTTCGAATGTAAGTGAACTAAGATGCTGCAATTTATTGTGAGACAAATACAGACTTTCTAGCTTCTTCAAGTTTCTAAATGTGTTATCTTGAATATAATCGATGCGATTGAATTCAAGATGAAGCTGTTTGAGGGAAGACAAGTCACTAAAAACTATTTCTTTGATACTCGAGATATTATTCTCACTAAGCCAGAGAATTTCAAGTTTGCTTTGACCTCTGAAGGCATCGTCATGAATCGTTGTAATATTATTTTTTGAAGCTCTCAAGATCATCAAGTTTGCTGGATAGCGACTCAATATGTCAGGAAAGTGTACAAGTCTGTTACCGTAAAGGTCCAGTTGTTGCAAATGTTCAAGAGAATAGAAGGCTTCTTTAGCAATGCTCTCAATTTTGTTTTCTTGCAAGTGAAGTTCGAGTAAATTCTTCAATGGAGAGAATGTTTTTTTATTGATAGTTCTTATTTCGTTGTTCTGTAAGCGAAGTTCTCGCAGTTCATTGAGATGACTGAAAACTCCGTCTTCTATTTTCGAGATCTTGTTGTCGTCGAGACTGAGGGAGCTAAGCGAGCGCGTCTTCTTGAAAAGATCGACGTGGATCTCCCGCAAATTATTGGAGCTCAGCTGCAGGTTAAACAAATGCTCCATGTTGCTGAAGGCGCCACTGCCGATGTGATGGATTTCATTATTTTGCAGATAAATTACAGACACTTTACTCGTGTTTGAAAATGAAAGGTTTGATATTCTAAGAATGTTATTGTTTGGCAGAAAAATCTCCTGAAGCTCAGTTAAGTTCGAAAAAAGATCATCATGAAAATCATGGAGATGATTGTGACCTAAATCTATGACTCGCAACTTGGGCGTGTGAGAAAACGTCGATGGTCCTAAATCTCGGATATTATTTCGACTCAAATACAAAGTTTCTAAGTTTGGGCAGTGCTTGAAAGCCTCTTCGGATATGTAAGAAATATCATTAAGGTACATAGACAAAGACACTAAGGCAGGCATTGAAGATAAAGATATGTTAGTAAGAAAACGGAACTTGTTGCTACTCAAGTCTAAAACTTGCAAGGCCGGCAAGGTCGAGTAGCCGTCACCTTGCACTTCTTCTATCAAATTCCAAGTCACTTTAAGGCTCTTGAGCTTCTTGAGCCTCCGCACTGAAGAAATTGGTAGTCTTTCCAATGCATTATTCATTAAGTTCAGCTCTTTTAGGCTGTCTTCTAACCCATCAAAGGCATACTCTGATATATAGTTTAAGCCGTTACCATTCAGGTTTAGAGACGTGAGTTTCATCCCAAAAAAACTGTCACCTTGAATTTGTTTGATATTATTAGCTTCCAAATCTAGCAGTTCTAGTCTGCGCAGTTTTTGAATGGCACTTTGAGGCACCTCAGTAAGCTTACTATGCATCAGAGTCAATTTTTTTAATGTGTCCTCTAAACCTCGAAAGGTTTTCTCATGTATAACGCTGACATTACTATGTGATAAGTGCAAAGTCCAAATGACAGAATCTTTGAAAAGGTACGACGGAAGTACCGTGACATTTGGGTCCAAGTCGTATATACTAAACGACATTATTGGACGTTGTATCATGCGCAGAACGCTGTTAACAACTCCAAGGGACACCATAGGGCACTCCAAGAACACATCGCTGTTGATGTGGTAGCATGGACACCAAGGGTTGCTCTCGAAACTTGGACAAGCACCATCTTCAAGTCTCTGACCTTTGGACACCCCCACAAAAGTTGATATGAAGGCCAGGAGCACGCACATGAGATGGCGCCTCATCTTTGCGTTATTTCTTCACAAAGATAATTCTTATTCCATCGGAAAAAATTCCATTGGTATTTTCAAGGCTGTCAATCAATCCCCCTACAGAGGCTTGATATACTCGGCCCGTTCTTAACATTTGAATATAGCAGCACAAACGAGGGCATTAAAACACTGCCAGGCAGGCGTGAAGTTAAAACAATTACAGAGACAACCATTAAACTATTAACTAATTATGCCATTACAACGTGTGCCAGACAGAAATTAAGCAAGTGTCACCTATAAATAAGTCTCACTTGAAACACAATGCTACACGCTGATAAACTTATCAACAAGTTTTAATAATAAGAGCAATCAATATACACTCGGATATTGCTCATACAATTTTGAACAACCACTTCACATAGCTATCTCGTTGGCCAAGATGGCTTCACAACATCACCAATGTTTCTCCTCGCCAAGATGCAACATTTTGACTTGCCATGTCTCACTGATTTCACTTATAAATAATTAATCTTTCACTCCTGCTGAGCTAGAACACTTTTACAAAACTGAAGAACTGCGTCGCCGAGCTGATAATTACCACGAATAGATTTCAAGTGATATTATGAATAATTTTTCTCAGTTTCACCCATTCAGAAATCATTCGTAAGTAGATTGCCACATTGACATTGTCGTTTCACGAACGTTAAACTTGATAATAACTTTCATCTTCGAGGAGCTGGATCAGAATTGTTATCGTTCATCTGGAAAGAAATAAGAATCCGTTAATTTACAAATAAATTAATAGTGACGGACAGTAGCCACGTCAAAGATCTCGTGGTAGTTTAATCTCACTTTAGACGGGTCAGAGTAATTAGAAAGCATTTACATTAACTTGAAATAACTAATAAGGCGGAATTTATAAAAAATCCTAATGAAGATAATGAAGCGTAACGACTGCTACTTTAGAGTAATAAACAATTTTTGTTTTGAAACTCAAATTCATTGAGAAAAATCGTTTAGTATCACTATAACCTGAAAATGAATAACAAAAATTAAAAATAACATAATATCATTAAAAAAATTAAAATAGTTTCAAATTCGAGGCGATGCAAAATCAACTGCGTTAATTTTTTTGCGCTAAGCAAAGAGTATAAGTTAGAAAATATTCTACTTGTAGATAAACTGCCTCTAATGTAATAAGCGCAACTTTAATCTTGACCTCGGCATTAGTTTGCAGCACTAACACGGTGAGTTTCACGTGGGACTTGAATTGAACAGTTCTATGACACGTCCTGTTTATGTCTGACCTCACAAAATATTTAAATTCTTCAAAAAGTCGAGATGGAAAATTTATTCTAAATTTGCCCGGTTCGTCGAGTGTGCTGAGCTCGCTTAGTTTTCTCCTGGCTTTTGAATAGTCTAACGTATTTACTTCATGTATTTCTTCAATAATTTTTGGCTTTGTGAAACTAGAGACGATAAAAAGTGGTCGGACTACAAATAATAGCTTTAATTAAAAAAGTAAACGTACTGAGTATTCTTTATTATAAAAAAATCGAACATGTAGAATTAATAATCCATATCATAGTCGGGTTGGAACTGAAACATCAAACACTACAAAGAACATAAAGCGGTACCTCATGAAAAACTGCAATCATAAAACAACATTAATGCATATATTTATTATGACACATTGAGGCCTTTAGAAACCTCGAAGAAAATTAACTGAAAAAAAACACTCCGTTGTTTATTTTGGGCAAAATGGGTAAAATTTGTGCGTATTTTTTTCAGGAATGGAAAAAGAAACACTTTTCACTGATCGCATTGATGAAACTAAATGTTTGTCAAATAACAACGTTCGACAACCTGTAATGGAGTCGGAAAAACTTTTCTGGTTGCAGGTGAAGCTAACAAAAATTAAGATCATAATTAGAAAAACATAAATTAGAAAAATAAAGTTTTATTTTGCCGCAGGGGAAGAAGCTGTTGCGCAGCACCAACTTCAGACGCCCAAATGAGCGGCATGCGGCAAAACTACTAGCAGGCTCACTTCAACCTTAAATTAAACTTGCATTTATTAAGAAGAATTCTTTTCACTAGAATTTTATAAGAATATATAAAATTCACTAGAACATAAGAATTTCTTGAGAAAAATTATTTTTACTAGAATGAGTGGAAAATATAGCATTAGACTACGAATTTGCTTCAAAAATTATTATTAAAACCGGAACAGTTTATACTAGAAGAATATATGGAAGGACCAAGCAATAATCAGAACTCTTCATTGTATTAAGAATTGTGCACGTCCATCTCTGAGAACGTGTAAAATTACTCATGGAATTTTTATCTGAAATGACGACGACTAAGCGTGAATCGTACATAAAAATGGTCAAATTCATATGTGAAAATGAGGATCGCAAGGAATGACTGGCATGGGAAAATCACTGTGGGATTTTTGTGATCTGGGTCATGTAAATTTGGAGCATTTAAACTTTAACCCATTGTGTACCGACTGGACTTTAACCCATTTTTAACCCTTTAACCCTGACTTTTGGACTTTGACCTTTTGTGTCGTGATGAACAGTTCTTGGTCTTTGGCCGTGAGGTACGAATAGCATTGACAATGTTTTCGTAGACGCAGTGTTTAAAGCACTTCACAGTAATTTGAATGCATGCGTATCAGAAGAAATTTGCCGGTTTTTCTTAGACCAGCAACGGACAATTGTCCATTCATACCAAATGCACCATAGAACGATAGGCCATCAATCAGGTTTCCATAGCATGTATTTTGCGAGGCTTGAGCTTTAAAGAACACATTACAAATAATGACAAAACTGGGATAGGAGTTCAAACTATAATAACAGAATCCGGCAACCCAAACGTTAGTGGCAAAACAAATTATTCAATAACAATAATAACAATATTAATCGTTAGATAATGATAAAAAGTTCTCTTCACATGAAAATATATTCAGTTATTTATTTGAGAGTCGTTGGTTTTATTCTCATAAAATTGGTTAAAGTTTTAGTATTTTTCAATTTTCCATTCACTCGGCGGCCGATGCCGTAAAAATTTTAATAGGCCTATGATGCTTCGCTCCACAACACGTTTGGAATTTATGCAGGGCAATCAAGGCTGGCGCTGGTGTGGGAATTGGCCTTCAAAGAGCCGAACCGAATACAAATTGTCGATTAGCCCCCTGGACCTTCAAGATTTATAGCGTGTGATTGATATTGAGGATTATATGTCACAGCAATGGGCCAGCAGCTACGCTTGCATTACTGGACAAATGATGGTAGAGGTTTGGTATTAGAGATGACCTTGATAATATTATGTTATGCATCCTTGTAAGAAATAAAGATTGAATGCTTCTATTTTTAGGAACAATGAAGTCGTAAATACTTTTCCTCAGTTGATCTCACGATTGTCATATTTTGTAATTATGAAATCCAGAGAGTCGTAATTTAACTTTTATATTAGGTATATAGAAAACGTTATCAAAAAGGAAACAATATTAGCTTTTAAACAGATTCCTGTTTCAACAGTTGATGGAAAAGAAAGAATTATGGATATATGCAAAATCAACTAATATTAGATTCAATTAAACCGATTTCAAATCGAAAAAGTATCCAAACAAGGGAAGTTTCAATTCGGGCAAATATTCATAACGAATTTCAAGGAGAATTTCAAATATTCATAACGAAATTCAAGTCGAATATCGGACTGCGTTGTCATGACAAGAACATATATTCGACCAAGAATTTATCAAAACAAAGTTTTATTTGCGTGAGCGGAATTGCAATTGGGAGACCTTAATTAAATAACGTTCCAGGATTTAATTTTAAAGCAGGAATAGAGCGGTGGTCCGCTAATGAAAACATTTGTTATGAGTTCAAACGTATTGGGGAAGAGCGAGCGTTGGTGGAAAATTAAATTCAGTTCAAAAATTGTGCAGTGAAAAATAATGAGTTTTATTTACATTAAAGGGCAATGAATTTCTTATTATGAAATGCGCAGAGCAATGATATAATTAGTCTTACATTACTTTCTCATGTTAAAATAACGTTATTATTTGCATAAAAATTGATGGAAATGGTTAATAGGCATCAACTTTCTTAATTGCATCATTTTATGAGACCTTATGAATTGCATCAAATTACGGTTTCGTGATATTTATTTACCAGTTTCTGAAATAACTACAAAATATAGTATTAGGCAGTATGACATATTTGAAGCAAATAACCTAAAAAATATTAACTAGTAATCAATTCATAACAAATTGCTGAAGGTTTGGCATAAATTGCGATTTTAAGTGACAGAACTAAGAAACGCTGGAACATGTAAACTTTTATTAACTTATAGTAAACTTAACTTATTTAAATTATAGTAAATTAAGTGTAAATATAATATGGTATTAGTGAATATAATTTAAAGTGAAAAATTAAGGTCGTCTAAAAATTGCGAGCAGCAATATGACTCTGCAGATAATGAAGTGAAGAAATAGAAGGAAAAGTGAATGAGCATGAGTAAATGTGAAGAAATATGAGTGTAAATTGAGAAGCAAGAACTTAAACCTATGAGGGCTCTCGTCGTACTCCCCAATATTGGGTGGCTCGACAGAAATATTTTGTAGGGTTTTGGAAATATGAGAGTCGCCCCTTGCAGGCAAATAAGGCAACCAAATCAATCAAGTGGAAAGACTTGAGAAAACAACGGGATTATTTTCTGTATGGAATCTATTTCAGGAAGTGTTTTTTCTCGATTTTAATATTATTGAAATTAAAGTGCGAATATATGGAACTTTTGGTCATAAAATAATTTCCTTAAATAGTTTATCTGAATCAAAATTCTTTTCTCCTTGTAACAAACATAGGGTTTTGAATTTAAACGTTCATAAAAAAATTCTGTTGAGTACATGGCTCATATTAATCTCGTAACTATAATTAAGAACTATTACAAATTCCATTTGGCGGAACAGTGATAGCCAGAAATGCACATTGATTTATTAGTTTATTTACATTTAGTTGACAACATTTCACCCCACTGTTAGTTTAGCTATAACATAATAATATTACATTGAGAAAACCAGAGAAAAAAATACTTGCGCTAAAAAGTGGAGTCGTTGTTTATTCTTTAGTTGTTAACCAGTGCGGTGAAAATCGTACAATAACAGCAGTTATTTTTCGATCTTCAGCTATTCTGATACTTAATATTTCTTTCCGTTTCTGTTTTAATTTAAATGTCAAATAAAATGAATCCAATTGAAGACGAATAACATTTTCATCTGAATTCATATTAACATAAACTCGCCTACTCTAAATTCCATTTTCGATGCATATTAATATGAACTGGTGTATTCTAAATTCCGAATTTATATTCACGTAAACTCGTGAATTCCAAATCCATATTTCACACTCCATTTAACATGAGGTGATTAACTAATCGTCTTAATCATGATTAATTAATCATCATCCGCTCGTGTAAATGGAGCGTAACAATTACCATGCATTTCATCCTTGCAATATTGCCACAGATGCCACACATCACTCAGAAAAATTGAGAAACTTTATCCAAATAGCGATATATGCTTCTTGCCCTTATGTGGGCCCTTCTTACCCAGTTTTGTCAGGTAAAAGGACGTTTCAGTACTACATGCAGAAAACATGTACCTCACTATTTGGACAATATGACGTATTAATATTACTGAGTGCATGGACAAAGGAGTACAGACTCGAGATGTTCGGTGCTGCGGAATG